TTTTGGGGTAAGCACGTCGTCTACGTCAGCATTCTTTTCATAGGTAGATTGAGTTAGATATTTCTGAAAATATAGTGAAAAACAACATTTTTACAGATACATTGTTCGGCAACGTTCACAAAAAGTAACCATGTCTGGAAATTGTACAGCGACCCGAGTGTCTAGTCTCGAGTTTATGTGAGCAGAAGCACGAATTTGTTGGGAGTGTCACGTTTCACGAACTCTTTCAGTGGTCTCACGGAACGAGTTGGTACAGTACCATGCGATATTCTCAACACGTTCGCATTTCTACTCACGTAACTGGAAACTAGGCATCTTGAATATGAATGCCTTTTTATTACCTTCTTTCACAGATGATGATAAAAATACTTGAGAATCTGGATTTAATTTCAGAAGTTAGAAGTTTCCGTAATTCTGATAATGATTTCACATGCTTTTGGTAGTTGAGACAACATCGAATCATCAAATTTATTATCTATTTTTTTCACAACGTTCTATAAAGTGTTTTATACTATAATTGCTATTTGTAAGTTATATAATTTGTTAAATTTTTTCCCTATTTGGTTACAAATAAAATAATCTGTTTCGTATTTGCGATACTTTGCTTTTTATCAGCTATGCCAATATTGGAATTTGATATATGTTTAATGTGACATTTTAATACTGAAAAGTAGTATTTCAGTTAAATACTGAAAAATTAAAAAGTTCCTCTTTAAGAACTTTTCTGGTAAATCCGTAACAGGTGAAGTTACGGATTTACCAGAACTATCAATAAAAGCGAATTGAAAGGGAAGCGAGTCTCATTAGTCCTGATATATTGCATTTGGCAACTGCTAATGTAAACTCGATTTCAGTATGTAACAGAATGGCTGGCCTCGTAGATTTTTTACGTTTATACGTTTTTTTACGTGTCTAACATCTAAATAGGGACCAATTTCCCATAGAAATTTCTCTCAGGAGGCACCTCTCCTTGACAAATCGTCCATGTGTTGCGTGCCTTATCGCATCAATCCAATACGTAATCTTCACTTATCACATGTTGTTCCGTTTATTTATTTTAAAAATTATAAAATAATTTAATTAATCTGCAATTTGGTTTTATTTTCGTTTTATCATAGGAAATCTAATGAAATTATTTATTTAAATAATTTACACTTTGTTGATTAATTATAACTGCGAATGCAAATAATGAAGTGAGGAATAAGTATCGGTAATTTAGTATTTTAATCACGATGAATATTTGAAAAATTTCAAACTAATTTGAACTTGATGTAAATTTAGTTTCTTCAACTTAATTTTCAGAAATATTATAGAAATTATTATTATTTTTATTTAAATTAAAAAACGATAAAATACAATACAGTATTACTTGACTCAATTTGCCAAGTATTTTACTTTAAGTATTCTTTTAAATAAAATTTCTTAAAGAAAAACAGTGAAATTATTAGTTATGCTCGATCATTATAGTCGGAAAATGCTACTGAATATATTCATGTATAATATACATTAATAATCATTTATAATTTACATGTATAATATCTCTCCAAATATCTTACATTGAAAACCTATATAATTAACTGTATAATAAACAATAGTTAATATTATCAATAAATTCATAAAAATATCATAGATTAATTTTACTGTTTTTTTTATAAATTTCTTTCAATGTATTTGTTCATTCTAATTTATAATCAATAGATTAATATTATTTCACATAATAAAAATTAGAGAATAATAAAAGTTTAAAATTTGATAACTTATCTATATAAAAATAAATTTAATTAAGTAAAGATTGTGAGAGACTATGTTGAAGAAACTTTCAAAAGTCGATGTTTAATTATTACACATGTATAAACTAATTACATGATGATAATCTCATTAGAGAAATTAGTGTCCATCATATAAACATTATAGATCATGCAGGTGATTCTAAAGTTTTTAAAGTGCAAAAATCATAGAATATAACCCTTATGGGTACCGTTTAATTGAATGCACATAGACTATAAAATCGTATTTTTTCCATTGATGACAATCGTATATTATCTGTCAGTAGCGCGTTATGGCTTCATCAAATTTGAATCAAGAGACCCCACGTACAGTGTTGATTTCAGGCATTTTTCTTTGAAGGAATTTTTTGGGGAAAATATTTTCTTACAAACGATTGATTTGAGGCTCTCTGTTGATAGGGACCCCAAGCAATTGCCACTTTTACCCATAGGATAACGCGCCACTGTCTGATATGTATGCACACGCATCCATAATACGCTCTTTCTGATGCCCGTTTTCTATGGTGACTTTTTGAGTATGCATTCGTTAAAAATAAAATGGAACTTATAAAATACATATTCACGTCTTGACTTCTTTATAAATAATTTTATTAGAGTACATAATTTATAATTTTTTAGTTCTATTTTATTATAATTTAATTCGATTCAACTTTTATTCTAAAATATTCTTTATAATTAAATGCTATTTTATTTAAATAAAAAAATAAATAAGTAAAGATTTACGATAAGGCTCATTACATATTACTCTTAATGAAACGTGTCGGCATTTACCGATTTTATGAATATTTTATTTTTATCGACACAACAATGTATGACTGCTAATTAGAGATAAACACCGAGTGATGAATTTTAATGTAAATATCTTTACTAAAAAAAGTACATGCATAATCATTTATAATTTACATGTATAACATCCCTGTAAATAGTTTGAAAAAACATTATTATTAATTGCATAATAAACGATATCAATAAGCAAAATTGACTTCATGAATGGGGAATGCGGGAGAGATTCACTGAATTGATTAATCATGTATGAGTTCATTTTTATGTTCTTGAAGAGCAAAAATAAAGAATTTCAATTAATTATAAACACAGTAATTAGAAAAAGTAAATATATTTTTATAGAAAATTATTATTTTCTATAGGAATTTCTATAGGAAATTTATATCAAGTCAATATAAATTGACTTGATATAAATTTTTTTTTTCAAAGTAAAAATAATAATAAGCAAAAATCAACTGTTTAATAACTTGTAAAACATACGATCATTTCATTTAATCATTCACAAGAAATTTTATGCTAATTATTTAATATAATATAAGTTTCTTCAAGTAAAGAATCATATCTAAACAAGTGAAATCTATATAATACGTGTTTATGTAAATTCTGGTACACAAGTACCGGTATAACTGATAGGTATACCGGTACGTGTGTACTCAGGTTATCTAGTATATCTACCTGTTCAAGTACACTACACAGGCGCGCCTATTCAGATATACCGGTACTTGTATACCCAATTTAAGTAATTCATCTGAGACTAGATATATTACAAAATAAACCATATATATATATAAGTATATGATTGAATATATTAATTTTTAACTTATGACAGTACAAATAATTTTTTTTTTAATTTTAAATTAAATTAATTTTATCTCCCGAATTTGTCGCTTCATTAAATTTTAATGAAAAAAAAGTGAAGAATTTTACTTAGTATAATAATAATTCGGATGTCGGAAGAAGTTATTGATATATTTAATATAGTATGTTAGAAATTATCTTTTGAATTATGTTTATTTCTGCTTGTTTGCTTCGCTCAGTGTATGGCCATTCGAAGGTTCTTTTATAAAGTCTTTATTTTCTTCTGCATTTATTTTGCTATGTTATTTTTTCTGTACGTAGGATCACCAGTATCTTTAGATTTCTACTATTTCCAGCAGAAGGAAAAGGAAAACGTTGACTAACAGTGAACCTCATTGGTAACTGTAAGGGTAATTTTATATACTAACACTTTCTCTACCTATTCTATACCATAACGCTTTTCTTACAATCAGTTATCAACCCAATTTTATAAAATTTCATATAAATTTATCGATAATAGCCAATTTTTTTCCATGCAATTAGAAAATTTTCCTTTGATATAAATAAGATTTTCTTATGGAAACGTCAAAGAATTTGATTTAAATATAGATTAATTTACCATCTATAAAATAATCCATTTTGTAGATTTAATTAGATATCTATAAATATATTCACCAAATGATTACATATAAATGTTAAAATATTTATTGGAAAATCTCAATAGTGAGTATATATTTCTAGCTATATACATAGATGTAGATCTGTATAATTTATAAACGAATCAAATTTTATATAAATTATTCTTTTATTTATTTATATATTATAAATACGTGATTTAAGAATGAAATAGTTTTTTTTTTCCTTTTTAATTAAGCTCAAGGTGTTGTTCCTATTTCTTTTTGATTATGATATAAGGACAAAACATTCAAATACAAATTGCCACAAATTGCTGACCTCTCAAGTCCTATTTCACTTATAATGTTACTTGATCAAATTCAAATATTTTTTTAATGAATTTGGTCAAGTAATATATAGAAAATACAATATTTATTACGTTATTTATTTAAATTTATTATAGGAAAACATTTATTTTGTTTTAATTATCAATTAATTTACTCGTCATTTTACAGATAGCTTAATTCAGTTTTTTCCCCCTTATTTTTAAATTTCTTTTAAATAATACTTTACAAGAGATGATTTTATTAGCCAATAATAGTTTATTTCAATTTTAGTGCTTATCAATTTAATGTAAGGATTGTTATATAAACTCTGCTAATAGAAATTATTGATTATATTCAGCAAAGTTTCATTAACCCAACAAACTATTTCAAATAACATGAATGGGAATTTTTCTTCTATATTAATTTTTCCAATTCTTCTTTATAAATATCTAGGCATGTGTTTCCTTTAATGTTTCTTTGTCTTTAGAAGCCTGCTTTTATATAATATCTAATTTAACCTTGCTTCTATTTAACGATTCGTAATTCGTATGAAAACGTATTCTATATTGGATGTATGTCGCCACACGAAATTCTCATATAAATGTGTTCTCAGATGCTCATCAGATTAAAAAGTATATTACTATAAAATGAAATTCTACTATAAATAAAATATGCCCATTTCTTATTTCAGAACCTTCAAACAAAGCGGAAGAATGTCATAGCGCCAAAGTACAAGCAAATCCTGAAGCGAGTTTGGTGCTTGCCACGACAGCAGCCAGTTCGAGAAGCGTTACTAAAGTTATAGAAGATTGTCCGGATCGAAGTAGATCTCAATGTGAACCACCAGCTGACTGCAAACCTTCGGCCAAATCGCGATTCACCGAAGTGGCAAAGTGTATGCTGGAAATAATTGAAGATCTACAGCTTCAAGTGGACACTAGTGGCACCGCAATTAAAGATGCTGGAGCAGTACAGGCACTGACTGCTGCAACGGAAGTCGATTCAGCAAGTGCTGTTAGTGTTACTTATCACACTACGGCAGCTGACTATCACGTTTACGAAGAGATCCTTTACGATTTTGTTGCGGGAGCTGCAGCAGCGGGAAGGCCTACAGATTTTCGAGATACGCCCCCTCCCCTGCCGGCTAGGCCAAGTGGCATGACTCAAAAACAAGAAAGGACGATATTTGCGCAAACAGTTGTATCTACCACTGTATCGACAGAAGTTTCTGATTTTAGTAGAGCTTCGAGGAACTGTCCCAAGCAACGAAGTAATCTGTACTCCTTGGTTAGAGATCAGGCCGAAAGAAGGGACATCTCGAGGTCCTTAGAACGAGAATGGAAGGGTGCGCACGAACCTGGAGATCTCGAAGACGAATATGGATTCAAAAAATCCTATCCGTCATCATAACACGTTCTATATACTTCCAAATAAATAAAAAAATAAATGGAATTAGGATATGTGATTTTTTTTAACCAAATTCGTTCATTAGTGCGCTCCAAACTACCTCTTTCTCAGGATTAGCTTTCACATTGTAGAAGTAAAAACAGTCGAAAATTTTTGTTAAATAATTCGTATGTTATTCGTGTCAAATCAAGTTTTAGATGAGATATTCCCATTAGGCAAAAAAAAAAAAAAAAAAATGCCAGGCATGAGCGATAATTTAGATAGATAGTTTGAAGGTATTTATTTTGAAAGCCAGTCGACCACTTTAGCGTTACGCAGTTACTCGATAAAATATATAGTTTTTGGCATTGCATATTGAAAATATTATAAAATAATGTGGCAATTTTCCCCGACATTTCTGAATGGAAATTTGAGAAATTCTCGAATGAATATTCACAAAAATATATGAAGAAAAAAAATAATCTGCTCTTAATTCATTTTATATCGAAATATATTAATAAATATTTTAATTATTTATTTATTTTTTTTCTCTCCTTAGACAATATAGAGATTGCCACATTATTTAAAACGGAGTATTCATTTTATGGCACTGATCAATGTGAAATGGAAAAATCTTCCATTTAATCTGTTTAAAAACTTCTCTAGAAGTTCGTGAAATCGACAATTTTTCAAAAGAACTGATCCTATTTCTGGATAAGACAAGCAATAATAACAAGTTGATTCTGATTCGATTGAAGAATGTTCCTGTTACGCGAAAATGAACCTACTGTAATGTTGTATATTATATCTTAAATATTTATAGACAAGTTGTTGAACTGTAACTCGATTCCGGATAAAACTATAGTGTAATTGAATTCTCAATATTGCCTATTGGAAGTTTTTTCCTTTGTTTAAATTATTCCTTTGCTCCGTCCTTCAATAGTTATGGGTTTTTAGATAATCAGATGCTATTCAAAATGTCAAAAATATGTAGAAATGAATGTATATATATATATACATATATATATATATATATATACATATTATATATTTTTCGTTAAAAACTATTGCATATTATCCGTTCATATATTATCATTCATTTTCATTCGTCAGTAATTATTCTTATTATATTGTTTAATTACTTTGATTTGCCTCATTCCATTCCTTTGTGAAATAGTAACTCGGTTTTGAATTGATGTTACATAGTAACAATTATATGAGAATGGATAATAGTAAAGAAGACATTCTCGTTTCCGTAATAGGACAATCTAAATTACAGTGTATTGCAAAGCAATATCTTATTGATGTAAAGTGTGTTTTATAATTTATTTCGACATTAAATTAAATTTGAATTACTCAGTTAGTTACTTTGATGTTTGTCTCTATTTTTGTACGTAAAGAAATTGTTCGACAGTCACTCGATTTGTCTAATATAGGGATTCTTAACCTAAGGCCTTTGGACATATTTCAAAGTGTTGTAAACGTGCAACAACAAATCCATAATTGTATCATCAGTATCTACATTATTGCTTACTTGAAATAGGCATGTAAATACTGTATCATATTATCAAGCCTTGTTATGCTTCCTGTGTGTAATTATACAGTCCAAAGAAAATAAAAAATGTCCACTCGAAATCAATGTTCTAAAAATTCCAATTTACATTGAAACACTCCTATATACAGAGTGAGAAAGGAAGTCATTTAAAACCCCTGCTACAGAATATAGAATGCACCCAAAGTTAATTCGCTCATGTTAAACCAAGGGGTAAACAGATTGGTGTGTGTTACAAGCACGGCCTCCATCTTGATGGCGGCCATATTGAATACAACTCCGAAACCGTAAATGGGAAGGAAGTCATGCGACACACCATTTAGGGTCGGATTTTACAAGAAATTGATTGCTAAAATATTTTATTGACCAACGTTAAACGGTTACAGAGTTATGCAAGTTACATAATGTGCTCAATGTATATTCTATATTCTGTAACAGGAGTGTCAAGTGACTTTCTTTCCCGCCTTGTACTTTATTTTATGCATTTAAAAACGTTAAACTGGGAAGATGTCAATAGGCTTTAGCATACTTCCAAATGAGTCCATGGCACAAAATAGCTTAAGAATCCCTGATTTAATAGTTAAAAATTAATTACAAAAACATTTTGAAATATTTTAATTATTTAATATTTAATTTAATCAATAAATTTTTTTATTATTTGAATATTTAATAATTTTTTAAAATATTTTCTTTAAACATTGATCGGTTAATTCTAATTAATATGTTACATTCTTTTTAAATTCCCGTTTTAAAACCTGTGGATTCCTATTGAAAGGAATATAATAAAGATAATAAAACAATCAAAAAACATATCTAAAATAATCAAACAAATTATATTTTTATGAAAAATCATTTTGACAGTGTTTAAATTCGTTTTAATTTTAATTTTAATGATGATGCCAACATAGTTTTTTAAACGAAGTAAGTCATTTCAACTAATGAATATTGGTTTAATGTTGTAAGTGTTTCTTGTCTTATTTGTTAATTAATATACTTAACTTAAACTTTTACCAAAAGATGATTTAACAATCTTTAAACCTTGCCAATCTTCTATGGTAAAAGTTGTTAGAATAAATTCCATTATCAACAATTGTCACGAATACGACACTTCAATAAATTTCACTGTTCTTAATTACAAAAGAAGTACAATTCTAATGAATTTTAGTAATTTAAACAGTGAAAATCCAGCATAATTCATAAGAAAACAAATTTTAAAGGACTAATTAAATATGTTTATGAAACTTTAATAATAAAAAACAATAACTCTTAAGTAAGAAAATATTCAGATAAAGCATAAATTCAATAAAATTAGTTAAAAAATTATATACAGTTGTGCCTCGTACTTCGAATTTAATTCATTTCAGGAGGCCGTTCGAACTTCGAATCGTTCGAATTTAACGTTCGAATCCTGAAGCGTTCGAAGTACGAGGTACCACTGTATTTAAAATTTCTACTACAAACATAATATTTATCATATTTTCATTTACTTTCGTTTAATACAATATTCAAAATATTTGCACTATAAATATATTAATATATGCTTTAAATAATGAAACAACAAACCAATTTCATGTAAAAAAATTATTTTGTAATTAATGAATTATAAATATATACATGAATATATATGTCATATTTCTATTCTATTATATGTGAATAATTTATGAAGTGGCATTGAGAATTATTTTTCTTATATATTTAATATTCGTAAGTTATCTGTGTCTTTTTTTGTATATTAATTATAATTAAGAAATTGTAAGTAATGAATTTCTCAGTTTGAATACGATCGCACATAAGTTTAAAGTTATCATTTTCGAAATTTTCAAGATAAATTCTTCTTGAATTCAATCTAAATATATAAAATTGCTTGTCCTGACTGACTCACTCATTCATTCACTGATTCATCATCGCCCAGAGCAAACCGCTTAACCTAAAGAGGTGAAATTTGGTACACAGTTAGGGTACGTCATGGAAACGCACACTAAGAAAGGATTTTTCGAAATTCCAACGCGGGGGGGTGAGGG